TTGAGGTACCGTAGCACAGAGAAAGTACCGGAACCGGCTATTAAACGTTTGCGTTAAAGCACGAAGCCGAGTAAAACAACTAGCGCGATAACGAACAAAACAGAGCGAAAGTGAAAAAGTGAAAGTTCCCCTCACGGAAAGCAGTTTTCAATCGTATAAAACAAACGTCACATGGCGTTGGTACTGAAGTAAAAATGTGATCGTACATTCAGACTGTAGATAAAAAATGGTGTCTGGCAAATGATTACAATTGTCCGGCTTTTACCGTACAATTGACCACGATACAGGTCCATCAGTTTGCTTTTTATGCGCTTCTAATGGACTTACATCGTTTCCAGGCACTTTCCGCCGTCCGGTTTCGTCAGCATGCACCATTCTGCAGGTCCCCAGTGTCTACCTTACTTCACTGGCGCCGAAATTTGTCAGGAGCGGGTAGAACCTGCATTCTAACTCTCATTATCAATTTTGCCCATCGGGTCTTCTACAACAATGCTCCTCACTTCGTTGGAAAATTTTGTGCACACTAGTTCTAGTGTCGAAGCGGTCTGTCCGAATCTTCATCCGTTCTCTCCGATGAAATGTTGGAACAGAGCATTAGGATGCAATATCTGAATTGGGCTTCTGCCAAACAACTCCAGTGTAGCGCTTTCAGTAGTCCATTCGATCTCGGGGGGATTAAAGTCTCCAATAATACCACCCTTTCCATAGACGCCATTGACAGCCAGGGCTGCTCGGTCGTCTGCTATGTCGCCGAACTCGTGGTTGTAAAGCCGATACTGGTCGTGTTCTATGCGATTATCTGACCGCGAGATGAAGTTGATCGAGGCGGAATAATTACCATCATGACCGAGCGGTCCGCAGAGTATCCGACCAAACATCGTGCGCACAGCATACGGATCTCTACGGTCTCCTGTCCTTTGATCCAGAACCCATTGCGCCTCGGGTACATCACAGCCGATCAATATGTCCACTCGGGTGTCCGGAACATTCTCAAACGCCAGAACGTGGAGGTGAGGCCAGCGCCACGCTAACGACCGGATACTTTTGGAAGGTCTCATTGATATTTCGGCGATAGTAAATGCCTGATGCACCTGTATCGTATCCTCGCCCGATGTGGGAGCGAACTTCAAACTCAGTTGAGAAGCTCGAACTGCTCGTGCTTCATTTACCGTGCTGATTACCAATGAGGTGGTTTGTCCTCCAAGGTCGTGTTCTCGTGCGAAGCTTTCTCTCACGAGGGTGGTATCCGATCCACTGTCTAGAAAAGCCACGGCTTGGACCATGCCACGTGGAATTTCCACCTGGATTGGTATTATTCCCAAGCGTACCGGCCCACTTGACACCCGTTCGATAGTGCAGACATATTTTGGTGAATTCCCGGCAGTGTTCGTTGGTTCTATCGAACCGGCCATTAGTTGTTTGCCGCTCGACTCCTCCATCGTGGTGTAATAAATTGGGGTGGTGCCGAACCCTGCAATTGTCTTGACTACAGTTGGTTCGGTTTCTACAAAGGGCTGCTCTGTGGGTATCGCTCAAGCACACAAAGCACTGGTTCGGTTTCTACAAAGGGCTGCTCTGTGGGTATCGCTCAAGCACACAAAGCAGGATCCCACAGTTGGTTCGGTTTCTACAAATGGCTGCTCTGTGGGTATCGCTCAAGCACATACCTACTGTCCAGCGGTCCATCACCTTCATTGCCAAAAACTCTGGGCAGTTAAAAAGCTTGAAAACACCTGTGCACAGTTAGCACTTAATCGGTCTTTGTGTGGTATACGAGTTGGTGCCAGCCCAGTTGTGTGGGGGATGGGGGCCTCGAGATCCAGACGGCGCAAAGTTGGTTGATGGCCTAGCGGTCCTGATGTTTTCCCTCGCTAGTTGATCGAATCGACTATTTGCAATGCGAGATTGGCAACCTATGAATTGAGTGAGTTCGTCAAAGGTTGCCTCTCCGTTCCTTTTCTTTATTCGATGGGCCTCGGTCGCCCAGGCTGTCTGCATTTCGGTCGGCAAACATCTGACAATCGATTCCAGCGTGTGAAGTGCATCCAGGTCCGACCGATATTCGAAGTGTTTGAGGGCGATGCTGCAGTTCTGCATCTTGATGACCAGGTTTTCTAGAGACCTGGTATCGCCTCGTGTGCGCCTCGCCCCTGCTAGCACCCCCTCAATCATGTTTCATACCACTCGGAATGGTTGGCCGAACATTTCCTCTAGTATATTTCTGGCTCTCGCGTAGCCCACTTCCGGTTCCAGCATTGTATACCCTTGTATGGCCACCTTAGCCTTCCACCGACAGTAGTGTAGCAAAAACAGAAACCTTTGTTCGTCGGTTTTGCATTCAACGAAGTTTTCGTATTGGCGAATGAATTGGTAATATTGTTCGGGATTCCCATCAAAAGGTGTCAGTTAGACTCCTTGCAAATGGACTTTTACACGGGCATACGTTCTTTGCTTAGGGACGAGTTATTATTATAATTCCTTATTCGGAGAGAAGTCACTGTGCGCAGTCTCCGCTCGAGGTGATGTTGTGCTCTTGAAATCGGTTTTTTCGCGTTTGGCCTGTTCTATCTGCTGTTTAGCAAATCTCAACTCATGCTCTAATTCATAAACCCTAATCTAATTTTATCAATATCCTTAATATCTGAATCTTCTAACAGGCGGGAGTGAGCAATTTTACTCCCGTATTCCAATAAGGGTCGGACGTATGTGCTATATAAAATCTGAAAGTCGTCTCTATCAATTCTAGGAAAAGAACGTCTTAGGAAGTTAAGAACACGGAAGGCTGATCTACTGGCTGATTGTTGGTGGTAAGAGAATGAGATTGATCTGGTCAGCCAGAAACCAAGGACCTTGTGGTGTTGTACACTCTCCATAATAATGGAAGCGTTAACCCTGAAGCTATGTACGGGGACCCTTCCAAATGAAATACTAAAGCATTCGTCGTCGTTTATTGGTAGGTTTCACGGAGTATACCAGTCTTTGACTGCATCCATTGCTGACTGAACAGCCACGGGGTCGATGTCCCAAACTGTCACATCATCAGCGTACATTGCTACGTTGACTCCGATCCTGTGTAGCAGGTCATTAATATATAAAAGAAAGAGGAGGGGCCAAGGACGGAACCTTGGGGGACTCCCGTAGAAATGGAGGAGTCAGATGAAAACGATGAAATTACGCGAACCGAGAAGGTGCGGTTCGTGAGAAAATCCCAAAGAAGGGCAAGGAGTCTGCAACTTAGACCATATGACTCGAGCTTACAGAGTAAGGGAGCGTGAGGGACACGATCTTTTGATCGAAATCAATGGAGATTGCGGGAGGAATCAAGCCGTCATCATGGGCTTTTGTTAGACTATCCGTTACAGATAGCATATTGGAGATGCATGATCTGCCAGGGAGAAAGCCTTGTTGGGTTTGAGAAAGAAGCTGGTTGTCTGTTAAGTGCTTTAGAATTGCCCTTTTTAAGACCCGTTCAAAGACCTTACTGGGCACGTTATTCAGGCTGATGGGTCTATAATTACTTGGAGTGTGTCGATCCCCTTTTTTCAATTGGGGGGATATGATGCCCCTTCTCTAAGTTGAAGGGAATATTCCAACATCTAGACGCTTCTGGAAAAGGGTGGAATAGTATGGAGCAAGAACCGAGGCGGCTTCTTTCAACAATCCAGAGTGTATGTCGTCTGGTCCCATCGAACTAAAGGGATTCAGGGATTTGAGGAGTGATTCGGTCTTCCCTGGAAGAATGAGGAAATGTTCTACAGGAGGCGGTGCATTAAGAGAGGGAAGATTGGGGTGGGAAGAGACAGGAGGGAAATTAAAGCTGGATTCGTAATGAGACCGGAAGATCTCTGCAACCTGAGCAGAGGAGGTTACAGGAGAGCCATCAGTTAGCTTGAAGGCTAGTTTCCAGGAGGTTGGTTGCCTTTTGCGGCGGATTGACTTAACTAAGGAATTGGGGTTACTTCTAGTCCGAAGAAGAATTGCTTTGTGTTGTCTGTTGTGAAATTCCCTAACTCGCTGCTTACATAAGTTGCGGATTCACTTGAACTCGACAGCATCGGCGTCGAGCCCAGTACATTTTAGTCCAGCAAATGAACGGGCCCGCCCGTCCATTAGGCGACGAATGAAGCGGGGTAGAGGAGGCCTATGGTCAGGTACAGAATGAACTCTAGGAATAAACAGGTGATCCGCCTCGTAAATTATACTCTCGAGCAAGTCATTTAAATTGTTCGGGTGGGTATCAATATTGCAGGAGCCCAGCCTGTTGGCCAGGAATTCTCGTAATAGAACAAAATCGGCCTTTTTGAAGAAACGAAGCATTCTGGAAGAGGGCCTGCAAGTTGGCCAGCGGATAATATAGTCAGAGGAAAGCAGGAGGTGATTACTTTTACCAACGGGACTTACGTGCAAGATCATGTCAATCTGGCGTCGTTCGTTGGTACTCGCAGGATCAAGCAAAGAGGGACGTTGGTCGACACGGTATCTCGTGGGAGATACTACGTGTTGGAACCACGAGTGTTCGTTGAAAAGGTTTATAAGGGGTGCGCCAAAAATTCTATCTCTGGAGTAACATCTGGGCCAGTCGATATTCGGGGCGTCGATATCGCCCAGGATAAGGTGTGAGAAAGTGCAGGTGGGAGGGAGGCAACGAAGCTGAGTTAGCAGTGATTGGCATTCCTCCTGTGTGCTTGATGGGGAGTTATAAACAACCCCCAGAAGGAGTGAAACCCTGCTCGGGAAGACGATGTTGACCCATAGGGTCTCGATCGATTGAATCGTAGGAAGGGAAACACGCAAAGCAGCAGGGAGGGAATCATTAAGGAAGAGAACCACCCCGCCCGCATGGCCAAGGTTTGAGTCTTGTCTGAACAAGATGTAACCATCTATCATTATTTCACCACCTAGTATCTCTGGGATTAGCCACATCTCAGTTAGGGCTATTACATGTGGCTTCTTATTGCGCCCCAATTGTCGCAGTTCAAGGATTTTATTAGTTATACTGAGGCAGTTGGTTGATACTCACTTCAGCACCTGCTCACTAAATATTTCAGCAGGTCTAGCATAATGGCAGGGGACTTAGGAGAGTTTTTGAGTGGTACTTCAACCCTTTTGCTTCGAGAGGATGGTGGCACCCGCGGAAGCTTCTTGGAGGGTGGTGCCATGTGTTTGGCTCCTATGTTGCGTGCTGGCGGGATTGGCTTGCCAGTTTTCCGGGGGTTCACTCTGTCTGGTGGGTGAGAGCGGTCTATTGGGGGCAGAAAAGGGGATTGGGGCGTCTTACTTTTCTTAAGGTCCTGTCTTGGCTTTCGCTCTGGGAGCAACATGGCAACACTTGACAACGATTCGGGTTTTGGCGTAGGGAGATTGTTTCTTAGGACTTTAGTTTTAGAGAAGAAAGATTTAGGTTGCGCCGGGGAATGAGCCGGAGAATTGCCTTAGGTGGTGGATTACCAAGTATCCGCTTCATCCCAGCGGTTGGATAAAAAGTGGGCACCTTGATTGAGCCTTTGACCTCCTTTACTGGAGCGTGGGCTGGTTTCATAGGTGATAGTACCTTGCGGTTGAGAATCCCGACTATGGTTGGTTCATCCGTGGTTATGTCGGCGAAGCTTGTGTTGGGAGTGCTAGCAACTAGTGGGGGGCAGCTTAGATTCTTGTCCTTTTGAGGAGAGGAGATGTGTGGTATCTTCTCAATATCCAGTCGCGTGAGATTGACTGTCGCGCGCATTTGCAGTTTCTGATCTATCTTTAGGCTACCTGGTTTTTTGTCAGATTTTCTGAAATGGAGAGGAATGTCGCGGGCTACCTCTGTGACATATTTACATCTCCTGATTATATTCTCCTGAGCAAGACAATGCCAAATTGTTGCATTTTGGCTGAACTCGACCACAAAACCTTTGATCGTTTTCTTGGATTTTGTTCTAAGATATGAACACCTGGTTGGGTTTAGGATCTCCAGTGATTTGAGGCTATCCAGGATTTTCTTGACCCTATCAGCTGCGGGTGTTTCTCCTTGGAACTTCCCTCAAATTATCATGCGTTTGCTGCATGCCTCTGTCTCAAAAAGCTTATTGGCGGTGTCCAAGATGATTTGGTCTGATACCTTGAGGGTCATTTTACTGGCTTCGAATTGGGGAGAGAGACCCACAAGTAATGCCTTCACCTCTACCAACTCAGCCTCCAGTTTGGCAACTTTCGTCTTTAGGCTTAAGGCTGCCTCGCCCTGGGATAAGATTATCCTGTTTTGTTTCACTGGGGAAGTGTTGATTACCGTGTTGTCAAGACTCCTGGGTAAAGTTTCCTCATCCAGAGATACATCCTGAATCGAGATGCTGTCGTTATTTTCTGCTACCATTTTGAGAGAAAGTTGTGGTATGGCGGTTATATATGAAAAATATGAAAAAAGCACTAAGTGGGAGATACAGTAAAGTGCGTAACAGTT